GAAGCTTAAGTGTTCCTTCACTGGTTAGTTTACCCTAGATTGGATCAAATTGGGAACAAAGTGTTCCCAAAATGTAACAGTTGTGAACCAGCTTCCCCTGAACACATCCTCGATTGTCTGCAATTTTTTTAGAGGTCATCCTCTTGCAACCAATTTTGTTGTATGAATTTGCCAGAACGTTTGGACTCATGGATTTGATACAGCTGAGGCTATATAGTGAAGGATTGAAAACAACAACAACAACAAAAATAAATCTCTTTTAGAAATGATTCAGGAAGACTACAGAAACAATTAATATGCATATTATATATTATTGCATATCTCGTAACAAAAACAGCAACATGATCCTCAAAATTACATATATATTAAGAGTTTGTTTAATCTTTTTAAAAATAAAAGTGCAGCCATGTGAGGCATATTTTAATTCCGATTCTATAATTTAAATCATTTTTTACACAGATTTAAATTGCTTATTTTTTGGGTGGGTAAATACTTTATTACAGCCTCTCAAAAAATTATGCAATTATGAACATAAAATTATATTGTTGAAAAGTTCTATTAACTGTTAAAGTAAAAATACAAAATCCATCATATTAAAATTACTTTATCAGTTATTAAAAAGTTAGTATATGAAATTTATTATGTAAAAGTTATTAGAAACAAATTTTATTGTAAGCTTGGGTTCTCTTAAATTCTCAACTCTAAATATAAAATGTTTCAGAAAATTATGCATTAAGTTTAATTTAATGTGTCTCAAACTAGTTCATATTTTGTGGAGTGTCATTCTCAAACTTAGTAAGTGATGTTATAATCATTCACTTTACTGCTATTTCGTTTAGACAGTCTTCAACTTTCTTGATGTTTCCACTTATGACTAACTCTTAATTAAATTCTTCACTTGAATTTGAAACTCTAAAGTCCTGACACATCTCTTTGATATCCCTGACTTTGAGCCAAAAACAACTCAATGAAACCAGAGAAATCTTTCTGATTTAGAAAAGAGTTCGTAATTACATTTCTCAAAGTGTTAAGAAGAGTTCTGATTTAGTACGTTTTTTGGGTGAGATTAGTAATATTAAATTCATTTTCATAATTCCTAATATAGAATTGTTTATTCAAGTGTAAATTAAAGAAAGAAAATGAAAAATAAGACTCAGTGACAGTCTTAGAAATTTCCGCAAAATTCGAAAATTAGACCGTAAATTTACAAAGCTCCCTGCATGGTGAAAAAAAGCTCACAGTGTGTGTAAATATGACAAACTTCAACAAAACTATTAGTGTTGACCATATCTCAATAGAAAAAAAAATCTGAGATAATGCTTCTTAACTCAATTTAAGTTGGCTGCGTAGCAAAAACATACGAATTCGGTTTCCTTAAGACGAAATGTTAATTTACTGTGAGTGACGTATATTTTATGAGAAAAAATTACTGGCTCATTTGGCTCATTTTTATGGTCAAAATAGTTTTACGTGCAAAATTTTATTTATTTTTTATTTATTATTAAAAAAAAATTAATTTTTTTGTCAGTTACTTGAACATTTTTTCCCGGTCACTGACCATAGTACAGAGGAGGGAATTTCTACTGTCCTATCTAGACTCAGTCACGAATTTTTCATTGACTTCAATTTCTTCTCTGATGAATTTAATATTATGGATAAAGAAGGATATTTGCAACTGAATTAAAATATTTTAAAAAAAACTACGAAAATATAACATGGATAACATTACATATTAGGATTATTTTAGAAAACATATAGAAGTAATTTTATAAACTTAAAACATTAAAACTATTTTTATGGGTTACTAAATATTTTTTAATGTTTTCTTTTTTTGTGCACTGTGTATAAGGGCAAGTTATATGGAATTTTCTCCAGTTCATAATCTTTATTAAAAAATATANATTATAATAAATATATATATAATAAATATATTAAATATATAAAATTGTAAAATATATTAAAACTTGTCGTGTCTGATTTGAGGAGTCACAGATATTTATTGCATTAAAAATACCAAGTTATTTTTCTAAGTTACTTTATGTGATTTCAATAAGCAAATAAGAGGGTAGGTTGGGACAAATATACATACCCTCACAATTTCAATTTAGCACATCAGTTGGCAAACATAAATGAAAAATTTGAGCAAAGTTACAATAAAAAAGCTGTAATTTCACTCAAGACAACACAGAATTGCAAAAAGAAGTTTGTTGAATTTGTTTATCAATCTTTAATGGCATTAGATAAGGAACATTTAGCGGTGTAATTAAAAGCGTTACATAAGGCATAAGTCAGGTAGGAATCAAAACCCAATTTTTACATGCTTTTTAACGATATCAACTGTATATTGCTATTTATTGCGCAAGACTTCCGAAGTATCATTTCTTTTATAACCGTCGTTGAACAGTCGGCCCAATTTTTGGGTTTACGACTACTAATGTTCAACTCTGTAGCCTTGTAATTTTGAACCCAATCCAGCAGACAAGGAAACTCCTGGATCGAGTATTGACAGAAATTTGAATTCATGGATGACTTTTTGATGAAACGCATGTAACGCATTTGCGTTACATGGTGAGGAAGACCACGAGAACCTCCCACGGTTAGCCTGATGGCAATGGGACTCTAACCCATGATCCGTCCACCCCTGAGGATATTTCATGTCAGCACTGTGGTTGGTGCAAGCCGGATGAGGAATTCCGAAGTACCATTTGGAGAAAAAACGAGCACGTTTTATCTGGGTAAGATAATTACTGCCAGTCTCAACCAAAAAAGTTTTTAGATTACTGAGGCATAGTACAGTGCATTAGATTACTGAGGCATAGTGCATTTGCTTCGAAAAAAATAAAAAATAAGGACATAGACTAGTAGGAGTTATCGGTGTTTCTTAGAAAATCTTAAATGGAAGAATTAAAAATAGCTTCTTCTTTTGTCAAAAAAATTAAATACTCGAATGAAACGGAGCTTTAAAAATTAGTTTTGAATTTCGCAAAAATCATCTACACCAATCATATTAATCATAAATCTCAGTTTACCGAATATAAAGAAAAAATTGTATAGTTAAAATCTGACTAAGGTCTCGAACTCTTGGCATTGAAACGCAGCTGCATTTTTGATCTCTGAGAAAAAAACCCTCACTGATGAAAATATAACAAACAAGCTTTGCTATCACTAAACCGTGGACCAAAATAAAATGCTAGCTATAATTTGTACTGATAGGGAAATAGGAAGAAATTCCTACGTCTATATAAATACAATCAAATACAATTAATCGTAATTTATACAGAGTTATTTAAACTATGCCAACCTTGATAAGAATCTATCAAGCGCTGGACTGATTTTATGATCTAACATTTATAACTTCTTTAACAAAGTTAAGTGAGAAAAAAAAACCATAAGTCTTAGGTTATTCAAAAATTATATGTATATGTAAAGCATATTTTACTGATGTGAACTGACCAAAATGAAATTTATCTTTTATTTAACATCCTTAAAAAGCAAATTTCTTACACCTTTTATATTTAATCTTTATTATGTACACTCAAAATTTTTTTCGTTTAATACAACTATGAGAAATATTTATTTTCTTAACTTTGTATAAATATAGTTTACACTTCACGCATTGTTAAAATTTCACAGCTGAAATATTTGCTCATCTAAATTAAAACAATATTATTTATAAAAATTTAATAATTCTTTTATGCAATTTTCTTCGTTACATAAAATAACAATGGGACTATCTTTTTAATTCTCTAACATATTTATACTATATTATTTTGTCATTCTGAAAAAAATCTTTATTTAAAAGTTTTTTTTATTCACTTATTGCTTTTTGCTGCGATTAAACAAAGTCTGCACATTTCTTTTTGGCAAATATTGACTTCAGACATTAACCGATCCTGTTTTTCTTTTTCTTATGAAAACATTTACACGAGTAAAAACTATTGTTATAAACTCGTATATTTCAATAATTTATATTTTAACAGAAACGTCAGTGTTAGAATTAATGTGAAAGTTTGAACAATCAATATAAGCTAAGAAAATCAACTTTCATTAAAAAAAATTCACTGAAATAAAATCATTAAAAAAAATTAAGTAAAGGACCAAAAATTTGCATATGGAGTAATATGAATCGATTTAAAAATAAAGTATGAAAGCGTCAGTTTAGTTAAAAACTTCTCTTGTTTAAATCTTTCTGTTAGAGGAATTGTGGAATATGACTGATTCAATACGTGAAGGATGGGCATAACACTGTAATTTTAATTCAGGTAATAAGGAATGTATATTGTAATTAGTGATTATTAAAAAACTCCATTTTTAAAAAACATAAATTTATCTTATTATAAAATTAACACATTGTAAAGCATATATTTAAAGCATTCGTTTTCGCTTGTTTTTTACGTTATTCAGCTTAAAACTAGCACAGTGTATCAAAACATTAAAAAAAACATTCCTCCATGAAACATTACTTCATTTTTAAAATGAATACCAAATGCTTCATTGTTTAAAAAGTATGACAGGAAGGAAAATTTTAAATTAGAACGCAAATAGTCTCTAAAAAGAAGTTGTATAGTTAAAATTCAAATATATATATATATATAGAGAGAGAGATCGTTTTCGCTTGATCTTTACGTTATTTAGCTTAAAACTATCACAGTGTATCAAAACATTAAAAAAAAAATTTCTCCATGAAACATTACTTCATTTTTAAAATGAATATGAAATGCCTCCTTGTTTAAAAAGTATGACAGGAAGGAAAATTTTAAATTAGAACGCAAATAGTGTCTAAAAAGAAGTTGTATAGTTAAAATTCAAATATATTATATATACAGGGTGGTCCCGAATTCATGGTACAAACTTTAATGGTAGGTACAGGACATTGTAACAATGATTTATTGTATAGGAATGTACAGTCGCAAGTGACGCGGTGAGGCGTAAACAGCAGAAATAACGGCCGAAAGGAAAAACAAAGATTTTATTGAAAGCGTTGTTGACAAGTGTCATGTTTACAGTAAGTGTTCAAAATTGCGTCCACCAGAAGCGATACATGCTTGACAGCGTCGGTGGAGCGATTGGCGTACACGTTCAAAGATGCCTGGTATTTCACGCACACCTGCAGCAGCTACAGATATGCGAGCGACGAGATCCTCATCTGAGTCAACTGGAGTCTCATAAACAAGATGCTTTAGATGTCCCCATAAAAAGTAATCGAGGCTCGATAAATCGGGAGATCGGGGTGGCCAAGGGATTGGTCCACCACGCCCAATCCATCGAGCACCAAACGTGGCATTCAGGTAATTCCGTACATCAATGCTGAAGTGTGCTGGCGCCCCATCGTGCTGAAACCACATGCGGTTACGAATGGCGATCGGAACATCATGCAGCAGTTGTGGTAACACTTCTTTCAGAAAAATAAGATAGCTTCCGCCACTGAGTCGCGTGGGTAGTAAGTATGGGCCAATCAAAAAGTCGTTCACAATACCAGCCCACACATTAATACAGAAACGTTGTTGAAACGCATGTGGACGCGTTGCATGTGGATTATCGGTTGCCCACACATGG